TCAACCTTGAGGTGCTGGGCTGAGTGCGAGTATTATTTTGTTCACTGAAATATTGATGAGGCTCCCCAGGCCGATAATTACCCATTGTTTACGTAAACCCTTACTTTAAAAAAAAAAATCATCCCTCGTACAGTAAAATATCCATCCGTCAAGTGAAGAAGGGCGCGAATTAGGCAGACTAAACGCATTTAAAAAAAAAAGTTATATGCCAGCTTGATGTAACTTTAACCGGGAGATGTTATAAAGGTTGGATCGTTAACTTTCAGGCGCCATATAGAGGTCTTGTCTTTAACTTTCTCTGCCTAGTATGATGTATTTTTGCTTTGGTAGTCTATCGATATTTATAGGTCAGACCCTCAACTTGCTCTGACTCGGAAGATTAATTTTATTAGCAAGGGCAGATATATACTGTATAGGTCAGATCCATAGCTCATTGTAAACCGTAAAATACATTATGTGAGGTTTAACTGGGGTTATACCTAAGACCGTATATACTATTTTATATAAAGATGTTTAAGTAAACACTTTTCTGTGTCCGTGGTTGAAGGTGGCGCCGCCTATGGGCAGAGCTCAACACTACAAGAAGTCATAACGTAAACACTGCCACACCAATTAGCAAACAGCTTTTAGCAAACCAATCAAAAGGTCAGTTACAAACGATGATTCTGCCCGTATCCAAGCAGTAGTGTCGTTTTTCATATACTGTAAATAGGATTAACTTGCATTAAATCAGGAGTTATAATAACATCAGGTTTGAAGGGACGTCTATAGCCATTGTGGGTGAATTTCAAGTTATTAATTAGTATCAGGAAATTATGTACGACTAAACATGACGGACGACATTGTAACAGACAACACGTTTGCAGACGATGCCATCTGGAATAACGTCCGCAGAACTTTTCAACTTTGTCTCCAGAGGGCACAACTCGGGCAAGGTTTCTTAATGTTGTCGCTTAAGTTGAACATCTTTATATTTGTGATGTTTTGGTCAGATTCTTAATATATTGAGGTTTATCGGGTGTGTTGGGGCGGGAGGAGAGAACCAGGGTGAAGAGGGGCGGAGGGTTGTGTCCGCTCCGGTAAATTTATTTCCCTCAACCTCATCCAACTTTTCACGCCACTTATGCTCGCTTAGTTAGGCTCATTAATGATATTCCTCTGAAGGGAATGTGGACTGGAATCGCGCCATTCATCCTCAGGGAACTTGAACTGGAAAGCCCTGCCCTTGTTCCTGTCATGAAGAACGTAGTGTGCAACGCCCTATTTACCATGATGGAAAACATGAACTGGAACTCCCGTATTCCCTTCATTGGAAATGTTGGCCGAAAAATGAAACTTCCTCAGGACACGCGGACTGGAACATGAGAATCCTCCGCGAACTGCCCGGTCTGTAACATGACATTTCTTCATGGGATACGCGGACTGGAACGTACAGCTTCCTCCAAGGGAGAATGTGAATTGTCCTTTTTCCTCAGTGAGGTACGTGGACATGAACACTCTGATGCCTCTGTGTGGAAAATGGCCTGGAAGGCTCTTATTACTCCTATGACACACATTTCCTGGAGGGCTGCAATTTTTCCATGGGGAATAGAGAGCAGAATGTCTCTGCTGCTTCTTAGATAATACCAACTGGAACGTCTTCTGCCGCGTCAGGAAATTGTGTTGCAGCAGCACCGGCCTTACTCCCTCTCCCCCCACCATTCCGGAACTTTTAAGCTGTTGTTAATAATTAGTTTCATCGTCCTTTGTCATCCGCGCCCCGGCTATTTACTCCATTTAGCATTTTTTCCTTGTCTCCTCCTCCTCCCCCTCTCGCACGTAATTCACTTATGCCAACCTCTTTATTCTTCCCAGCTCAGACACGCTTCTGTCCTCATCATGACTAAGAATAGTGCATTAATCTCTTCTTTGCATCTCATGAGGAAATTCAGCTTTTGTGTGTGTACCCGTGTTGTTCTTCATGGTACAACAACCTCCTGTTACTCCACCATTGATAAAACTTAACCTCGATGGTTGCTCTTATAATGCATAGTTGATACCAGCTTAGTGTTTTGACAATTGACTCATCAAATTTAACCAGACTTCCTCGCATGATACCCAACTAGAGTCATGTTAGATTAAGCTTCATTAAGTCGAATATTAATTTTGATCATTCTTTTAGATTGACTTTTTTTTTAAACATTGAGAGTTAATGAAATGTTACCGTCAGCTTAGTTAAGATTATAGAAATAGATTTATATAGATTTGGTGATATAACATAGAATATAGTGACGTGTTTATATTTATCTATGTATTTATTTATTTATTTATTTGAATAAAGTTGTTACCCTCATGTGTGACTGCGAATAAATGATCATTGAAGTAGCTTTTGAAATTTGTATTACTTTTTTTTTTTGTAATATGCATATGTTGTCATGGCAGTGTGACTTTTTATTTCCCTGACGAGTTGCAGGAACGAGTTTTAATTTGTCAAGAAATGTGTAAGACAGTGGAGGCGTCCCCGAGCTGTCTGCTGGCCCCATTGTTCCTTTAAACAAGTCACCAACTCATCCTCCTCGTCCTCCTCTTAGATTACTGTTTCCTTGGCACACATCTGGCTCTGGAGTTAGTGCCACCGACTTTTATTTGCAGTGCCAACAATTTTCTTAGTGTCATCAACTTTCATATAAACAGTGCCAACAATTATCTTCTTACAGTGCCACCATATTTTTTGCAGTGCCAACAGGTTTTTTTTTGCACTGCCAACAGCTTTTTTGTTTACAATGCTCTTAATTTTCTTTTTCATCATGTCGCTATCTTTCTTTTTTCTCTACAATGCCACAACTTCCGTTTTGTATAGTGCCACCAACTTTCTTTCATACAGCGCCTTTATTTTTTTTTTTTACACCGCTACCACCTTTTATTTTTACATTGTCACCAATATTCTTTCTCTTTCTCTACAGGACCACCAATATTTTTGTTCCTACTGGGCTACAAACTTGCATATTTTTACCAACCTCTCATTTCTTTTTTCCTTCAAGTGCCACAGTCGTTTAGCTCGCCTGCATAAAGATAAATTACGACAAACTCTGGTATTCTCGTCCTCGTCCTGTAAACAGTATTATGTCCAGATGTACCTGCAGGCGGTGAGCTCTGTTGACGTCTCACAGCACTTGTTCTTCTGAGTGCCAGCCACAGTTTGTTTTTTCTATTGGATCATCAACGTTTGTGGGGAGGAAGGGAGGGGGGGGGGTTTCTCTTCAGTGCCACGAGTGTTTTTTTCTCTTCACTGACAATATTTTTTTTTTTTTAGATTCAGTGTCACGAACGTTTTTTTTCTTCTCAATATCACCATTTATGTTTACCACTGCTGCCAACGGTTATTTTTTAGTGTCATTAGCTCTTTCCCACTGCCACCAACTTTTTTCCCTCAGTGTCACCAACATTCTTTCCCCACTGCCATCACTTTTTTTCCAGTATTTTACCAACTACTTTCTCTTTTTTTTTTCAATGTCATTAAGTTCCTTTTTTTCCCAGTGCCACCAACATTCTTTCTGATGTTTTTTATCATCGATTAGTGTCATCTAAGCCTTATAGACGTCATACTAATGATTCAGAGCCGCTACTTACTTCACTCCCTTGTAGGTTTAGTGTCAGTGTAAATCTTTGGCTTTTTCTGTGTGGCCTTTTATGAGACTGTACTTGATGGTCCTTTATCTCTTCTCTTCCTTTTAACTTCTCTCTGACGGTTTTATTTCTTATGCGTCAATTTTTTTTTAATTAATTATACGTCTCTTTGTTGGTATTTAGAACCCTTCTCTTTAACCCCTTGTGTGACTTATTTTTCTCTCGATGATCTCTCATGAATTCAGTACCTTATTTAAAACGCCTTTGAATATCTTCCTCTTTACCCTCCTTCCTCTAATAGCTTCCCTGCTCACTTGTTAACAGGATTCTGCTCTATCTTGCCTCACTCTGGACGTCGTCTTCCTCTCCCTCTATTTTTGCACCATTCAGACCCCTCTTGATCGTCTTACTTCTAAAGGTGGTGGTGTCAGACTCACTCACTCTCTTTCTGCCCCTCTTCTTGCCCCTCAGTAGGGTGCCACATTAACCAGCCATGTTCCTTTTCTTAAAAAAAAAGGGTACTATTGGGGACTGTTCCCTTGGCACTCTTTGTTCTGAACTCGGTCCAGTGCCACTTAAAACAGCTGGTCCCCAGTAGGGTGCCATGTTAAACAAACTCGTTCCTCTTGTGAAAAAGGTACCTCCTACCGGCCTCCTTGGCATTCTACTTCTGAATGGAGTCCAATGCCACTTTACCTTCTGGTTCTCAGTGGGGTGCCATGTTAACCAACCTTGGCCCTCTTCCCAATCGCTCTGCCTTTGTCGTAATCTCCATATGACCTGTGAAGACCCTCCATTTAATAGGCAAATCTAAGGGGGCGCGAGTCTCTACCTAATTGGCCACCTCCTTTTGAATTCAGTGTGAGGTGTGGGGCGAACAGCCGGGGCTTCGAGCTTGTTAGTGAGGCGGGGAGAGTAGGGGAGGAAGGAGGCGGGAGTTGGGAGAAGGTGGAAGGATGGGTGGGAGAGAGGATGGGAGGGTGATGGGGAAGGTATGGGAGAGAAAGGGAGGATGGAAAAGTGAGAAAGAGGAAGCGAGAAATGGAAGAAAATCAAATATGAAAGATAATATATGGAATAAAAATTGAAAGTTAACAGTTATGACAAAGATTCATGAAAACTACAGTAATTAAGATAAAGTGTAAGACATGAGGTAAACACAGAATACCTGAGAGAATAAATAAATATATGTTTATTATTGTAATAACTATGGTACTCGTACCTGACCAGCAACCATTGTGTCTTTAAACAAGTGACGTCATTGGTGTCCCAAAACAGTTATGTCATTTGGGACGCAACTTGGTCTACACTTTGTTCTGTTCTCTTCCTTGTTAACACCTTCTTCCGCCTCTCCTAACAGTCACACCTTTGTTACTGTTAGTATTATGTATTGTGTTGTCCCTCCATAAATGTGTTGCTTACTGTTGTGTGTTTGTGTTGCAGGAGACGACGAGGTGATGAGGTTCGTGGGCAACGACACCCACGACGAGCACTTCAAGCTGGTCCTCCACGACTCGTCTGGTTCACTGCTGGTCGGCGGGAGGTGAGTAATGTCTTACTTCATCCGCTGTAGCTGCTGGGCGTGTTTCCCTGTGGTTATCAGCATATACTTGGATCACGCGCACCTACAGTGATTTACTTGCATATATATATATATATATATATATATATATATATATATATATATATATATATATATATATATATATATATATATACATACCATGGGCAAAGTAAGGCAGGAGCAGCGTGATATAATACCAAGACATAAACATATATAGCTATTATTGGCTATTAAATGTGACAAATGAGTAAAGTTGGACAATAAATTACCTGGACCTCCACGGCTCCGTAATCTGTTATACTTTTCTTACTTTTTATTACAGGAACGTGATATATAACATCAGCGTGAGCGACCTCCAGGAGCAGAACGTGAGTAATACTCGTATCTCGAACGTTCCCAGTGAATGTTTCTAATATTCACAATGTTAGGCAAATATTCACAGCTGAAATTTATTTTTTCTTGTTTTTTTTTGGGGGGGGATTTTCAGGTTTTCTTACCGGAAGGAGACATGTTGTTTTTGTCGGGTCCATGTTGCTGTTGGTATTTGTAGACATAATAAGCACATGAATGTACTCGCATTCAAGGATGGCCGGCTCTTGGGCCACTTAGGAGTGAATAGGTGTAGAAGCTGTTGTCAACACAACAACTGCACCCTATACGTTAACGAGTTGCAATATCCAGTGTCAAGGAATAAACCGAGAAAACCGGACAACTCGCTAACTGCACTGGCTAACCATTACCCTGAAACATGATCAACAAATCGATTAACATTCAGGTTCCCAGTTACTGCTGGATAAGCAGAGGCAAATGGCATAAAAAAAAACTTGTCCTCAGACACAGCTTCCAGTGCAATTTAAAAAAAAAATTGAGGGTGTTCTTGGGGAGCTTCTCACCACTGAGCTGTCTTTAACATTCTATGACCCGTCCTGGTGCCCGAGGCGTCAGGATCTCCCCCAGCCTATCATGCTTCGTGAATGCTCGTAATATCGACGCGAGTTGTAAAATTACTGCTCATAATAATGCCAACTCTCTCATTGGTATTCATGGTAATGACCTATGTCTGCGTTTGATGTCATCATGGGTTGTAAGGTCAGTTGTTGCCTTTCATCCACCGCCACGAGTGCTTGTAATGACCTCCGCTCTATCATCACTGCTCGTCGTAACTTGAGCTATATCATCACTGCTCATAAGACCCCCAAGTATCTCGCAAATCCTCGTAATAACACCAGGAGCCCCATTGGTGTTCATGAGGACATCAGGTGCTAGACAGGGTTTACGATAACACCTCATGCCTCACAAATACTAGCGTAATGTAGTTCCAGGTGTCATACAGTTGTTCGTAATGATGCTGGTTATTTCACAAGTGCTCATAATGACACCACCAATGACACCAGGTGCTAATAATGACACCATGGAACCAATATATATTAAAAGGCGATAGATCAGTGCACTCCGCCCCTCTGCCGTATCATGAGGAAAATATGAGTTAAAAAAAGCCAAAGCATTAGATCATTATTATGTTCAAATTTCAGCTTCAGAGATAAAAAAAAATGTCCGAGATATCGCCCGGACAAACATACAAACAGCGTATTCACTGATTACCTCACTTTCGGAAGCCATATTCTCAGGGCACGCACTTGGGGGCGGGAGAGGACGGTATACCATGACCCCAGATGACCACAAGTGATGACAATAAACCCAAGTGAATCATCGGTGCTTATTATGACACCAAATGATCTTCGCCGACTAGTTTTACATTTGTATTATACTGTTTTGACAAGTCATGGCGGTCATCATGTAAAGGTCATATCATAATTCTATGTTGTTGCGAAATTTTTTACACAAAAGTTATGGCCATTTGGTACTTAACTTCCAGTGCAAATGATGACCCCAGTGAATCGTAGGTGCTTATCACGACACCAGGTGCATTAAATGATCCTAGGTGACTAATAGGTACTCCAAATGACCCTAGGTGTTCATTGTGATTTACAGGTGCTCATAATGACCCAGATATCCATCATAACTCCCAGGTGTTCATAATGACGCCAAGTGATTCACAGGTACACATAGTGACTCCTCTTAAGCCTGTGACCACAAGTAGTCTTATATTTCTCACTGGAATGATTTCATATTGGTCGTGGTTAATGACGCCATCTCAAGGCCCATGTTAGTACATCAGTAGATATTGTGACGGCAACTAGTCCTACAGTTTGTTATTGTATATGTTATTAAAAGACCCAATCTCTTCGCGTCATCATCATCATCATCATCATCATCATCATCATCATCATCATCATCATCATCATCATCATCATCATCATACACTCTACTAAAGCCTACCTCCAATACCTCCTGTTAAAGAAAACTTGTGGACCTGTGGAGTAGAACTTTGAACCTCTCGAAAAATATATGATTTATATCGTGTATGGAGAAGCTATTGGTTGACTGAGAGACGACCACTACTTGCTGTCTTAACAATACCAACACTAGTCTTGGGTAATAGTGATATAATAACAGTCATTTATTAATACTTTTGACGTTCTTCGGGTTGTAATTATTGGTGGTGCGTTCTACAGGTAAAGTACGTGGTGTTAGTAGTGGTTTAAGTCTACAGGTGAAGTACGTGGTGTTAGTAGTGGTTTAAGTCTACAGGTGAAGTACGTGGTATGCTAATGAGTGTGACGGTTGGAGCTGTGGAGAGGTTGTTGATGATGATAGTGGATGGAATGGTGATAGTGGTCGAGGTGATGGTTATAGTGGTGGGGATGATGGCAATTGTGGTAATGGTAGTGTGATGATAGTAGTGGTTGGGGTGATGTTAGTGGTGGTGTTATTGGTCGGGTTGGTGGTGTTATTGGTCGGGTTGGTGGTGTTATTGGTCGGGTTGGTGGTGATATTGGTCGGGTTGGTGGTGTTATTGGTCGGGTTGGTGGTGTTATTGGTCGGGTTGGTGGTGTTATTGGTCGGGTTGGTGGTGTTATTGGTCGGGTTGGTGGTGTTATTGGTCGGGTTGGTGGTGTTATTGGTCGGGGATGTGGTGACGGTGTTGTTGTTGTTAGTGGTCCTACTGGTGGTTGAGGGATATACAGTAGACCATTAAAGGTGTGGCCCCCCGTGGTGGCCCGGCTCCCAGGCGTGGGTGAGCAGGAGCAGCAGGCTGATAGTGGTACTGGTGGGTTATGTTGGTGAGCAGCATGGGTGGTAAGAACATAAGAAAATAGGGAGTCTGCAATAGGCCGGTTGGTCTGTGCATGGCAGCTCCTGTCGAGAGTTACTACCACTCTCTATCATCCATGAATCTATCTAGCCTCCTTTTAAAACTTTCTAGCGTTCCAGCACTTACTACAAAGTTGCTAAGCTTGTTCCACTCATCCACAACCCTATTTGTGAACCAGTTCCTTCCTATCTCCCTCCTAAACCTAAACTTATCCAACTTAAATCCGTTGCTACGAGTCCTATCCTGCTCGGATATTATAAGAACTTTATATATATTCCTTTATTCATTGATTCCTTTCACCCACATAAATACTTCTATCATATTTCCCCGCACTCTTCGTCTTTCTAACGAATGCAAGTTTAGTTTCTTTAACCTTTCTTGATATGGAAGGTTTCTAAGTCCCGGAATCATTTTCGCCATTCTTCGCTGCAGCAACTCCAGTGAATTGATATCCATTCTATAATAAGGGCACCAGAACTGAACAGCTTAATCGAGGTACGGCCTGACAGCGCAAGATATACGGTAGTTGCAATAAGACCTCTGCACTCTTATTACTTAATCTTCTAGATATAAAACCTAAAACTCTGTTTGCCTTATTTCGAACATTAACACACCGTTTTCTAGGCCGTAGGTCCAGGCTTACAAGTACGCTTAAGTCTCTTTCACAAGTAGACTTCTCTAGGTTGATGTTGTTAAGGCTGTATACATTGACAGTATTTGTTCTTCCAATATTAAGTACGCTGCACTGGCTGGTGTTGAATTTCATTTGCCATTTTTTCTGACCACTCCTGCAGTTTATTTAAATCCTCCTGTAGTGCATTTGCATCCTGCCCTGGGCGGCCTGCACTGATGGTGATGGTGGCAGTGGGCGGCCGTCACTGTTTTTGGTGGTGGGCGGCTGGCACTGATGATGGTGGTGGTGGCACTGATGGTGGTGGGCGGCCGACACTTCCGTATGTGGTAATTGATTGAGGAAATTATCAGGAAATGGGAGAGTCTTAGCAGCGGTAATGATGCCATGAGGGAGTAGGACCACCTCAGCCAGCGCTCATTATGTCCTTTAATTCTACTCTGGGGAGGCGGTCCACTACACCCACCTTACCTTATCCTTCCCTAACTCTACCTTATCTCACCTAACCTCACCTCAAGCCCAGATCATAATACCACCAGTGACAAATATTTGGGCAGTGTTTGGTTTTATTCCGCGTGTCACAGAAAAATACACTTTTACTGCATCAGTTACATTCCTTAGTCACGATGCAATCTTTTTATTTGTAAACGTATTTTAGTTTTATTATGGTGTAATTAATAATTTATTCAATTTTAATTTTCTTTCGTTTATTTTGAAGCATATCATTTTCACTTATTATATTTTACTTCATATCTTGGTGGGTGGTGGTGGTGGTGGGCAGGGTGGAAGATTTGGCTGTTGATGGTGGTAGTGGGCAAGATCGATGACTTAGGGTGATGGTGGTAGTGGCACAGGAGGAAGATGTCTGAGTGGTGGGGAGGGAGGAGGAGGAGGAGGGGGGGGGGGGTGACACAGTCTTTCAAGAAGTTTTGACTTGAGAACGCTACATTTGTCTCGACGAGGAGGCCATTTTTAAAGGGAGTCTTTGTGTGTGTTTGGGTTGTTCTCTTGGTCCACATTGTTAAAGAGATCCACTCGTTAAATATTGATCGTAACTGAAGATGTAAGAATGTACTTAACTGCTTCTTATATTTGAGATCCTTACCTTAATTAGATTAGTTCACTTAGCGCCAGGTAAGAGAGACAGAATTAAAGCAGACTATTTTGACGAAGATCATATTCCTTGATGTTGTTCGGTAATAAATTAGTGTCAGTATAATTTTAATGGTATTTTGGGGGACTTGTTGTTTGTCTTTTAGAATAAGTCGAGCAGTTTGGTTCATACATGCATCATCAGCTACGAGGATTATCTGAGTTACCAACCTTCGTCATCACCATCTTCACTTTCTTTCCTTCATCCCTCTCTCTCCACCTTCCTCCACCTCTCCACCCTCTCTCCATTTTCCTCCCCCTCTCCAACTTCCTTCCCCTCTCCACTTTCCTCCTTCGCTCTCTACTTTCCTCCCTCCCTCTCCACCAACCTCCCTCCTTCTCCATCACTACCCCTCTCCACCTTCCTC